AAAAAAAAAAAAAAAAAAAAAAAAAAAAATGTGCAGGTGAAAAGGGCGTTACGGACCTTCCCCAAACATGTGACCCATTCAAGTGCACATCGCCAACGATACACTGAATTTTCCTCTCCCCCTGTATAGACATTGGCAACTAACTATTTTTAGTCGAAACCCTCCAACAAGGGCATAAACCCGTGGAAGGCGCAGACAAGTGAAACAGCGCAAAACGCGCGAAACTGAAGCGAAAACAGGACAGGCGGAACGCAGCACCAACACAGCTAGCTACACGCGCAGAGTGTTTTTTTTTTTTTTTTTCCGACCCCCCGAGAAAAAGCGCAAGATGGAAAAGCTACAAATACCAGAATGGAATGATATCGAAAGATATTTTAAAGACCCCGAGTTGATAACGGCGGAAATTTTGTTTGTAGGTCTGACCTTGTGTAACGTATTTGTTATGTACCGCCTCTTCCTAGATGTGATTCCTTACCCTATCTTTGTGACTTGGTGGCAGTTGGCACAGGGGTTGCTGGTTGCTTATGTATGTGGCGAGTTAGGAAAGGAATTCCCCAAGTTTGCCTACTTTCCAAAAGTCGAAATAAATGAAAATATGCTCAAGGTGTTATTTGTCCCTTCCATTTTCTATTGTCTCATGTTAGTGTTGTCTAATTATTTGCTCTTTAAGACCCCTTGTATAGCGTCCTACCCAGTGCTTGTTAGTTTTACTGTAGTGTTTCACCACCTCACTCGTTTTGTCGGATGTGGAGAAGAGTACATGCCACTCAGATGGAAGTCCATCGTATTCCTCTTAGCCGCTTTTGTTATTGGATGTTTCGATTCGAAGACCACAGGGAAAGGAGTACTAATATGGGCTCTATTATATGCACTTTTTTCAGCGATTTTTAGAGCAGGCTTCATGCAAAAAATAATGCACCTTGTAGATGGCAAAGGGAATACATTACATAACAACCAGCACCTGTTAGGAGTTTTACTCCTCCCTATACTGATTTTATTATCAGGAGAATGGGCTGTGTTTGGGCATATGCCTTATAACATTTTGTCCTTGTACACCTGGCAGATGTGGGGTTGCTTAATAACTGTGGGTACCTTGCCATTTATAAAAAATGTCATTTCTAATAGATTGGTTAGAAGAACAGGACAAGGCCCATGGAGATTTCTCGAAATCATTTCAATTGTCTTAGTATTCTTTATTGGGATGGCTTACAATGCACCTTCCTTCTTAGGATACGTGTCCATTATATGTGTAATTATTGGCCGTTGTTTGGGTGCCTTCGATGTTATGCTTAATGCCTCAGATTACATGATGGCTGAAGATGAAAGGAACAGAAAAACTTCCAAAGCGAACTATGCTAAGAGCAGACAGGGGACACAGGCATCCAAGCCCTTCCTATACTCTGGCGATAACGAAGAAGATGAAGAGGAAAGTTCCTTCAGCTCAAATGATAGTAGGAGTTACCAGGGCTCTCAAGACTACGACGATAAGGACAGCGTCAATAGCAGCTCTCAACAGTATAGCGTCCACAAGGGGACCAGCAGAATGGACAGCTCTTCGAATCAAACCAGCCACGCGGGCATGTCCCTAGACGATAGCAGACGCGGCAGCAAAATAAGTGACGCCAAGGCCGCTGGGCACAGCACCAGCTTCCACTCCAAGTCTAAGTTGTCCCGCAACTACTCCTCCAAGAAGCAGGACCTCGTCGACTCGCAGGCCTAACGTAGAGAAGCGTACAGAAGCGTAGCGAAGTGAAGCGAAGCGAAGCGGTGTAGCTATGCATAGTATAGCCGTGTAGAGTAGCCAAGCATGACATGGCCAATGCAGTGCTGAGTCTGCACCAGTGACGCGCCCCCCTCAGATTTGCCGTGGCGCGTTCCACCCCGTTTTCGTCCCCAACCTAGGCACCGCCACCTCTGCCTATGCGTACGTGCGTCCAGATGCAACAATAAGTATGCTCACAAGCATGCGTACAACTGTGCGTATAAGCATGCGTACAAGTGTGCGTACGCGTGTATGTCCCTCCGTTTAAACACACATGTGTAGTCCGCCAAAAATGCATTTGCCCGTCCCTCCTCTCCTCTCTCTCTTCCTCTCTTCCCGCCCCCTCTTTTTTTTCTTTTTTTTTTTTTTTCCTCCGCCAGTGCTATGATTGATTCCCCTTTTTTTTTTTTTTTTTTTTGTTAAATTTTTCGATTTATAAAAAAAAAAAGAACAAAAAAATAACAGCAGCAGACACCCGGTGCGCATGTCTATTTTTGTGGGACAGAGGGTTCACCTCTCCGTGATGAATTGTCATGTCAAGGGGGAAATGCGTCACCGCAGTTTTGAGTAAATCTCAATTGAGGCATTTTTGAGGCGTTCTTTTTTTTGCCTTACGCTGATTGTAAGGGCAGGGGCATGGAAAGGTTGTCCACGTGATGAGAGCCTGACAAGTGTACGGCCGCTTAACCAGAACATTTCTTTCAACAGAAGTTTGTGCCGAGTAGTGGGAGAGGGGTAGACAACCCGTTGAAGGGTTACCCAATTGGGGATGCAATCCTGAGATGTGACCCACACACACGTGTAGAGTGTTTTTCAACCGCGTGAAACAGTAATGAAGTTAAGACAGAGAACGGCGTGTGCTTAGCTGCACCTAGACGTGTTAAGGTCTAAGGTGATGTTTGGCAAAACATGCTATTCGCTTGTGCCAGAACATTTTCTTATTTTATTTTAGGAGGTTCAAGTGCGCACTGAAATGGTAGAAATGGAAGAAATGGCGAAATGGACTTCACCCATGTGTGGCCATTCCTCGTTCGATATTGAATAGTTGGGAAGGATCACCCCGCGGGTCCATCTCGACCAATTAGGAATAATCACACACGTCACCCCGTTCTTTCCCCTTTCGCGTTGGCGCTCACTGTTGCGGTATAGGGACGTGCGTTTGTGCAGAATGTAACTATACATAAGGGTGCACTTTGTTGGGGCCGCTGCGGCAACAAAGAGAACAGGTGAAAAACTTGTCGCGTGAACGTGTCACGTATAAGTAGAGGCACACGCATGGAGTTACAAATTTCTGAATAGGCTGCTTATATTTATGTCCCTCTTGGATGTGCCCCTTCCATAGCCACCCATGCTGTTCCTAAAAAAGGGACCAATTCCGCTGTGGCTTTTTTGCAAATTTGCATTCCTCTGGGATGTTATATTTGGAAACAGAATCTCCATGATGCTTTCGTAGGGTCCACTCTGCTGCGTCTGCGTAGCTGCTATGCCTTGCGATGGTGTTGGGAAGGCGCTAGGCACATTTTGAGGGAAGTCTGCGAAAAGGGGCAGGTAGACATACAAAATGAGGTGCATGCAGTTACTCAGCACAACTTCAAAAAAAAAAAAAAAAAACGGGGCAAGACACACAAGTGTTGATGCGGTGGACACGTTTGGCCATTACTGTTGGAGATCATTTTGGCAAAGCTGTCGGGGGAAAATTCTTCCAAGTGGTTTCGCTGCAAAAGGAGTTCGCGAGGGGGTAACACTCAAGTAAGTAGCACACATGTTAGGTGGACGTGCTAGGTCGCCGTGTTAGCCGGTGTAACGGCGCGTCCGTAGCCGCTTCGTGGTAGCTGTGTACATGTGGACGTACACGTGGACGTACCTCTGCGTCCACCTCCACGCTAGGAATGTACTTCGTGTCGAACCCCTCTCCCACGACAAGCACATTCGTCATGCTACAAATCATTTTTCCAATTTCATTATATTCACATATACGCATGAGGGGTCGCAATTCGCACTTGTACAATTTGTACCACTCATTAGTTAGATGTATAAATTTGATCCCATAGATCCCATGTTGAGACAGGAGGAAGAGCGTCTTGGCTACTTGCTCCTTCTCAAATAAGCTCTGTCTGTCTGTTATGAAATCTTCATATGTTAAGTCGGAGGAGTAGTAAATCGGGCCACACATCTGCTTGTTCATTTCATACTCGCTCAAGATCACTCCACTTTTCTTGTAAGCTAGGTGTAATGAGTTTTGAAATTTGCACACGTGAATGACCAGATTGTATAGAAGCTTGTGCAGGTGGTATCGTAGCACTTCAAGGTTACTGTTCTCTACGTTGTTATGAAGAAACGTCACTCCCTGAGGGAAAGCACCCCCTTCATGGCTCAAAAAGGAACCTCCCCCATGTGGAAGGAACGGCATGGCATGTCTGTCCCCACTGGAGCTACCGAACATTTTGTTGCTGTAGTTCATGTAACTGCCCACGCGGTTACTGCTTCGATTTTTCCTGTACTTGTTCATAATTTTTTCATAGCTTTTGCTCACAGTCGCACAGGGAGGCTTCAGGTGGTCCATTCCTAGCACCTTCATCATCCTTGAGCAGTCCCCTCTGGCGAATTCCGCGGCGACGTCCTGCGGGGTTGGGGGGGTGGGCAGCATATACGACGCGACATGTCGGGAGTGGCGGCGGGTTGCCAAGTCAGTCACGTCTAACGCGACAACGCCGCGTCACAACGGGATGAGGCCGCTTAACAGCGCCGCTTAACAACGCTGCGCACCTTGTACGTGGCGTCCTTGAAGTAGTGCGAGGCACTCATCGGGGTGAACTTGGACCGGGCGAAGGTCTTCAAACTAGAAAGCTCCTCCGAAAAAAAATTTTCATAAAAATACTGAGCAGTGTCTAATGTAAACACCTGTATGCTTCTACTACTCCCTGCAATAACCAGGTTTGGAATTTCCTCCAGCAGTCTCCTCAGCTTTTTTGCCTTGTAGTGGTTCAAGTAGAAGCTCAAAGGGTACTGCTCCGAGTAGGCCTTGTTCCATTCACTCTTAATGGAGGAGACAAACACACCGATCATGCTCTCAGATGCTTCTTCATCTGTGCCTTTCTCAAGTGAACTCGCTAGTGGGTCCTTCGCATCCTCTCCACATGGTTCCTTGTGCGATATGCTCTGGTTTGCCGTTTCTTGTGTGGTGAAAATTTCATGTACAAAATCGGAGGTGTTCGTGGTTGAGTAGTTTTGTTGCTCTTGTCCTTTTTCACCCCCTGTCTGGACTTCATTCGGCTCCTCTTTTGAGGTCATTCCCTCCGTTGATGCCATTAGCTGCGGTCCATTGTGACCATCCCCCTCTACCTTATCAACACACACTTCGTCCCTGCTCATCTCCACTTCAAATCTGCCCAAATTTTCATTTTCATATGTCTTGCTACTACCTGCAGGGTAGGGGCGGGGGGGAGGTGGAAAAATGTGACAAGAGGAAGAGAGAGACAGTGTGTGCACCATGTAGAGGAAGCGAAATGGTTGCCACATATACTATTACACGTTGAATAATGTCGCCCTTGTTGATCATGTGAGGGCGCTTCCCCCCTTCGCAACGGCACACGCAGGGTCAGTGTAAAAGGGGGGGGGGAGAGATACTTACTCTGGTGCAGCAATTCTTCCTTTATTTTAACTATGTGTTCCCACTCCATCTTCTGCCTCTCCGTGAGGACTACTATCAGCTGGTATAACAGAATGTGTAGTTGTGTCTTGGTGAGCATTTTGATGAAGGGGTGGTGGCCCTGGCTGTGGCTCCAGTTGTGACTCCCATTTGAGTTCTGCTTTGAATGAGGCTTCAGTCCATGGGTGCTCACCCAGTCACTCGAGTACATACACGAGTTGTCGTGGCTCCCCTCACTACCCTGCCTGTTAAGCTTGCATATCAAATTGGCGCAGGGGTCTTGAGTAATGCTTCCTTTTATTTGGAGGCCCGATTCGCTGTAGGCGTCGCCATCTCCATCCCCATCGCCATCCCCATCGCCGGGCACGTTGTTGGTGAAGAGGCCATGAAGCAGGCTGCCACCACTTCGAAGCACGCTACCACCCACGACACCCTTCCAGATGCGCTCATGCGACTTGGAAGTCGGAAAAGCAAAACTTCCATTGGAATTAAATTTTTTCTTCTTAGAGTCGTTCTTCCCAGTGAGAATACTCCCCACCTGTACATTGCTAAGGGATCCTCTGTCCCTGCTGTTCAGTGCACTAAGGATACTATTGTCTCCCCCGTTAAATGAATTCGACCTAAAATGCTGTTCAACGAAATGTGTCGAGACGGAAACTTTTTTGCTACCCATTTTGGAGGGTGCATTAACTTTCAACTCATTGCTCGGTAGCGACCTTAACGACTTCAGATCAGGAATCTTATAACTATAAGTTAGTGGAGTAATTCTAAGTTTCACATCATTAGGAAGTGATATTATTTGTATTTCTTGAATCTCTTCTAGGAAAGCTTGAAGTTTGTCAATTCCACATCTGGTTTGTAATATTTTCAAATTGAATGAAGACCCGAACAGCTTCTTTACCTCCTGCTGCAGCTTCGTCAAGGAGACACTACCATTCGCTGGTGTTTCCTCCTCCGTCAAATGAGAATTGTAGTTGGTGCATTCTCCTATCGTACCTAGAATGACCTTTAGAAAAAACGTCTTGTCTTCGTTCATCTTTGGCGTTTTATATTTTATGGTTAAGTTTTTCTCTGAGTCGTTGTCATGCGACACTTTACATCCTTCCGTCGCTTTCTCCTCCGCGTTCGCCGTCGCGTCGTCAGCTGTTTGCGCTGCCGCTTTCTCCTGCTCGCAAATCAGGCAGTGGTCCAGGCTCCTGACCATGTCATATATGTTGCTAAACCCTGCGTACCTCAAATTGAGCAACGCGTTGTACTTCTTGCAGTACTCCCCAGAAATTTTCTCCATCTTTATTCCCTGGTACCCGAAGGATTTTATCAGCATTACCAAATTTTTTGTCGTGTGTCTGAGGAACGGGGGTGGGGTGAGGTGCAGGAGAAGGGGAGCAGTTGTTGTGCGCTAGATGGAGCTTTCCCGGTAGCCGCGTCATGGAACGCTTCGCTGAAGCTTCGCTGACGCTTCGAGGACGCTCCGGAATTCCACTCACTGCTGCATCTTTTGATACACGTAGAGCGAGTTCTGCGGCTTGAACTCGGGGGCCACTGGATTCAGCTTGCTCCTGTGCAGACGCAGGGGTGTGGAGTGGGGGTGTATAAAAGTTAAATGCCCATTGGCGTTCCGAATGAGTACGCTGTGTGAATGAAACATTTTGAGCGCCCCTTACTCATATTTTTGTACAGGCTGTCCGTCTCGTTTTTCATCAATTTCGCACTTGAGACTCTCTATGTACTGTACGTCCGAGAGATTATTTCGTTCTGCGTGTGTGTGTGTGTAAGGCAGGGGTGGTTAGAAAAGTAAGAGGACGGGCAGGGTAGTCTACAATATTGTCACAAGAAGAGGGTGCTTAGTTGCAAGCATTACGCAACGTTTCTCCCGTCTGTTATAGCAGCTTGCCTGCCTCGCACATCAGATGCATACTTATTTTTTTTTCCGATGTAGAGCATGCCTTTTCCAATTCTTCCTTTCCCTCTGTGTCCGTTGCGCATACCTAGAGAGGAAAAAAGACGCATGATTTTTTTTTTTTTTTTTTTTTTTTGCTTGAGCATACACATGGTGGGGATAGTAAGAAGTGTTCTCTTTACTCACTTGCTTTTCTGCGTCTTCATTCCCTCCAATGGACTTTGCAACACTATCTTCTGCCTTGCTGCGAAGGAGTCGAAGCACAGTCGTGCAGTTTTTTCATGTGCTACGATCACAGCAGTTGCCAAAACGAGACGTCCTGGAATTGTTAACCACTCTATCACAGTGAATTTCCCCGCTAATGTGTTTTTTTTTTTTTTTTTTTTTTTTGCTTGAGCATACACATGGTGGGGATAGTAAGAAGTGTTCTCTTTACTCACTTGCTTTTCTGCGTCTTCATTCCCTCCAATGGACTTTGCAACACTATCTTCTGCCTTGCTGCGAAGGAGTCGAAGCACAGTCGTGCAGTTTTTTCATGTGCTACGATCACAGCAGTTGCCAAAACGAGACGTCCTGGAATTGTTAACCACTCTATCACAGTGAATTTCCCCGCTAATGTGTTTTTTTTTTTTTTTTTATATATATATATTTCCCTTTTTTTTACCTTTCCCCTGTGGATGTCTCACAGTTGTCACTTCGCCTACTCAGAACTGTTCCTGTTTTCCTTTTTTTTAAAACATCCGAATCTTGGTTAGCAGGCAATGAATCGTCTTGGTCCTTTCCACTCGGCTTCTCACTCAAGCCACTCACGTCTGCTCTTTCTACATCCTCTTTCGATTTGTCCACGTTTTTCTGGTCAGGCTCCTCTTGCAGAACACTTGCCTCTTTGGTACTACCCAAGACGCCCATTAAGCACGACTTGGCATCATTTATTTTTGTAATTACGTTTTCCTGCATCTTTCTTTGGGGTGAGGACCCAAGTTGAGTTTCGTGAGCCGGTGATTGCCACATGTGCCAAACTTAACGTGTGTGTGTGTTTTTTTGTATTTCTTTCGTATTTTTTTTTTTTTTTTTTTTTCCTCATTTCACCTGCACAGGTCAGGTAAAAGTTCCAATTAGCTAGCTACCAACGTTGTACATACAAAAGTGTGGCGCGATCCTCTCTCCAGCGAAGCCGTTGTGGCATCAAGGGGAATGGACTGTTTCAAATGTGAACTACACAGATGAGAAGCTAGTGGCGCGTTGGCCTGTTTTTTTTTTTTTTTTTTTTTTTTTTTTGTATTATTTATTCTTTGTTCTTTTGCTAGACAGTGTGTAGACTCGTCCGCGTCGCCGACCTGACACAATGGAGCATGTTGGACGGGTGATAAGCACGTGCGGACAGGCGAATGCAGGTACAGGAACACATAAACGCGACATGTCCTCTGTAGCGCTAGTGTATGCGCTGACTGACTCACCTTCTATGTGCAAGTAGAGTGTCAACGTCGGTCAAATGGACTCACCAAAAAGCTGGTTTAGCTATGTGCCTCCTTGAGGACTGGGATTGCGTAGATTGTTTCGCTTAAGCATATCGCATAAAAGAATGGTCCGGAAGTTTTCTTTGCAAGTTTGCTTTTTTGCAACTTTTCTTGCGAGTGTACTTTGGGAGGTTGCTTCACCAGTTCGTTTTAAAATAT